ATTACCAACTGTATTTATATAAAAACTATTGGTAACAAACTTTTTGTTAGTAACAAAAATTTAAAATTGTTGTTAAATTGATTTTAATTTTTATAAAAATAGTAAAATGACAAAAATAAATAAATTTATTTTGTCAATTTACTAATAAATATTTTTTCAAAATATTTATACCAGACGGAAAAAAAGAAAAAGAATATTTTCTTTTTGTTAATATAAATATTAATTAAGAAATAAAAAAAAACATTCTTTTTTTTTCTTTCCATCTGGTCAGATGTTTACATCTGAAAATAGTAGAATGCCAAAAAATTATTTTGGCATTTTACTATTTAGGGGTCTTTAGACCCGTCTGGACAAGAATATATAAATAATTTAAATGTAATAATGTTGCAGAGTTATAACCATTAGTATTTACTAATAAATAAATTTTAAACTCAATTACTTTTTTTTATAAAATTGAATTTTATTTTTAAATAAAAATAAAATCATCCAAAGGTTTAATAATGGTTGCAATTAATGATTATCTTCCACTCAATCACATTCAACTTCAACAGAATTTACGTAAAGAAATAAACATTTTTATGGAATCTGAATTTGATCATTTTTTAGAAAATGAAAAAAAATTAATAAAAAAAATACAAAAAAAAATTCATAAGAAAATAAAAGATACATTTTCATCAGAATATTTCTTATATTTGAGTATGAATAATGATTTTTGTACTCATAAATTTAAACGGGGAAAACGAGAAGGTCAATTCTGTTCCCGTAAAATTAGAACAAATATACCAGAAGGTACTAAAAAAGATTATCTTTGTTGCAAACATAGTAAAGTTCATATTCGTAAAAAACAAAAACAGTTAGCATTTAACAGTAACAATGATATAGAATTAAAAAATATATCTATAAAAAATGAAGAAAAAAATTTAAATATACAGTATGCAGATAATTTTATAATGAAAAAGAAAAAAAAAAGAAAACCTATAAAAATTACAATAGGAAATCCCTTTTTCTTATGCTTCAATAACATTCTTCCATAAAAGATTATATATATTATTTATAATATGCCTAGATTATGCTCTTCAATATATGCTTTTAATAAATCTTTTTGGTTAAATATATCAATAGATAACCAACTATTATCATCATTACTATATCCAACCCATTTTACCTGAAACAAATATGCATTATTTTCTTTTTTATGACCAATAATACTTTCTATTTCATATGATGCAGTTGACCGCTGTTTACATTTTATATTAATTTTCTACATTACATATTTATTTTTTATTTAGATATCGAAAAACAATTATTTTTAATAAAAATAATTATGTTTTTGTAACTATCAAGGTAATGCAGTACCCGCTATATTGGTACACCAACAACACCACACACCCTTTTGTTTTTAGAAAAAATAATTTTAGCTAAAATAATTTTAGAAAAGATAATTTTAGATAGAAAATAATAATAAATATTATTGAGGAAACTTTTAAGTTCTCGCAAATAAATATTTATATTAATTTTCTCTAATAGGGGTTTAATCCTTATCTGTAATTCTTTAAAGGTTTTATTAACTAAAGGTGAATCATTGTTTAAACACTTGTAGGAAAAAATAAAAAATTAGACTATAATTTTTTTATTTTTGAAATACTTAAGGTATTTTTTTTTATTTTTTTTTAATTTTCTAAACAGTTTAGGTTTTACATAAATTTGTTTAAACCCTTTAGGTTGTAATATACTTTTATGTTTAATTTAACACTTATAGTGGCGGAACAGTAGTGAGCAAGTCCCCTCTCTAGCCGAGGAATACTTGGACGATGGCTAGCTTGATAGTAAAATCCTTAACTAAAATTAATTAGCAATTTATTGCTAAATTAATTATTATAGATTGATACTCCATTTGCTGCATCACAGCTCTGAAAGCGCACTGAAAGTGCTCTGAAAGTAAATTCTCACTGAAAGCACTCTGAAAGCATATTGAAAGAAAAATTTCAGAGTACACCGAAAGCACTCTGAAATCGGGTTTTACCTTTAGTGCGGTCGGAAGTCAATGAGGCCAGCAACTCTCATACACACGTTGTGTCACTTATGTCTAGCTCGCTTAGCTCAGCTGGTTAGAGCGTGGTGCTAATAACGCCAAGGTCAGAGGTTCGATCCCTCTAGTGAGCAATAGCTACAGTTTTTTGTGGAAGAGTTAATTATGTCAGAACTATTGTTAAAGTCTTTTTGGCAGATCAATACTGTAGCCAATAGAAAGAGAGATGACATGGAAGATAATGTTTTTTGCTTGATGATGAAGGGGATATTTATATTTTTTCTATTATTACTAGATATGCTATAATGGCTACTTGTTGTGATGAGAGACTAATACATGTTCAAACAATAGACAACTATGTGTCTTGACAATCATGTGTTAATGAGAAGCGACTACGTGTTCAAATGATGGACAGGTGTCACAAGAGGGAAAAGGAAAGACCATTTACTTGTTCTTTCCTCCCTTGAGGTACCAGAATCGCCTTAACAAAGTCGACCACATAGGATAGATACCATTGGCCAGGTAGTAACCCTTGTCATACTCGTTACTATTGATGGTGTACTTCACAGATGGCGCTCGACTGTGGATCACGTCATCAAAAACAGGGGACTTATACAAGACACTGATGTCATTGCAAGAAATAGGTACACCAAAAAAGGAATGCCATATCCACAAGTTATGGGAGGCAACAGCATCCAAGATGACAGTTGCTTTGCCTTCTTTTCCAGAGTACATGTCCTCTCATCCTTTTAGGCAGTTTTTCCACTCCCAATACCAAAACCCTTATGTCCACCCCATTTTAACAGAGGGGAGTCCCACCCCTAAAACTGGAAATTTTAAACTCCAATTTCAGAGTCACGGCATATGGTGCGTCAGTGCTGTGAGCAGTGCCTTTTATTCACAAACTGCAAAAAAAAAGAAGTACTGGTCATTAATAATCAATATACAGTGCTTCTAACAAGCAATGTCGCAGCTAGCCAAAAACGAAGTCGTTGGCCAATCAAAATCGATGTCGTTGGTTGGTCAAAATCAATTTCGCACTTTTGGAAATGGAAGTCGTATTTTTAGAAACCATATCATTTGCATTTGAAAATGATGTCGTGTTACGATGATTTCTTGGCACTCGAAAAAATATAAAAATGAGGTCTTTCTTCTCCTGAGTCTGTTTTTTTTCTTTTCTTCAATTGCTTAAATTTTAATATGAGTACAATATTTTTATTTGAAGATGGGCATAGGAATGTCGTTGATGAGAATGGAGGTCCTGAACCCATGGAATATATTGTTGATCAGAATGAGTTCATTTAGAGCCGATTGCGACTCACAGTGAGTACTTGAAAAATATGCCCTCTAGTGAATCTTCATCTGTTTGTCCAATACTGACAGAAAAGCCAAAAGATGAAGACATTCATATGAAAGAGGTAAACACAAAGCGCGATTATGTGCGCTATTCCCTCCAAGATAAGGTTCGCTTTTTCGAACTGAAGATTGAAAAGTATATGAGTGCATCAGCTACAGCGAAGCAGTTGGGTATTCACATTCGGACTGCTCAGAGATGGGTTAAACAGTACAATATGTGTCCTGATAGCATTTTTGAGGTTTGTAAGCAAATTGGTCGTAAATGTATCTTGAGCAAAGAGCATAAAACAGCTGTTATCAATTTTATTGATAGTAACCCTTCTGCTTCTGTTGTTGAAGTAACCAGGCATTTGTTGAATCGGTTCGATGATCTGAAAGTTTCACGTAGCACTGTTTACAATTTCATGAAAAGTGAATGCAACCTTTCGTTGAAGAAGGCTGACTTTCATTCTGTTGAAAGGAACAGTCCAGCCAAGGTTGAAGAGAGACATGATTGGGTTCGTAAGTGGGAAAATACTGATATGAATTTTTTGACGAATTGCGTGTTTCTTGACGAGTCAGCTTTCGATATCAATATGAAACGCTCTAGGGCTTGGTCCAAAAAAGGTACGCGTGCCATTGTTACCCGACTAGTAACGAGAGCAAACACGACGTCGATATTAGGTGCCATCTCTGCTGAAGGCTTGATTACAATTGGTGTCAAAAAACCGAGACCAGCGAAGAAGAGAAAGGCTGAAGGATACATAAGCTCAGGTACCGTAATGGGTCATTATATCAGTTTCTTAAAAATGACTCTTGATGAAATGGACAAGCATCCTCACATGAAAGGCTACTATGTAGTCATGGATAATGCACCAATCCACACACATGAAAACATAAAGAAGTATATTGAGTATCGAGGATACAAATGCATGTATCTTCCTACTTACTCCCCTGAGCTTAACCCAATAGAACAATTCTGGGCAGTGGCAAAGAGTAAGGTTAAGCGTCATAGGTTTTTGCAGGAAGACACTTTATCAAAAAGAATCACGGAAGCTTGCAATAGTGTGGAGAAAAGTCATTTCCGAGGTTTCGTTTCGCATTCTTACAACTGCTTGGATAAATGTCGAAACAAAGTGCCCATATAATGGCAACCAACGACTTCATCAAAAGGCAACAATACAGAAGTAAGAACCACGTAAGTATCAATCAGGTAAGTAATTAGCAATTTTATTTCACTTTTTTAAGAGTATTACATCGACTGTCAGTCATTTTATGAGAAAGCAATCTTCAAATCAATATGCAGTAATGGATAAAAACAATAACTTGGTAGTGATTTTCCTATCAATTAGATTGTTTTGCAACTGGTTTTGTGACAAGTGCAGCTATTCAAATTGCATCGTTGAAATAATGGGAAAATGAATGAACAGAAGGTTTCAGTTCACTTTTTTTTTTACAAAATCAAGTATAATTTACTGCTTTACATAGCATTTTCATACTGACGAGATTGGTTAAGTGTATCCATAAGATGTATTAGGTAAAAAAGGAATCATGTAAAAAAAACGAATCACAAGCAAAAGAAAAAAAAAACGAATCGAAAGGGGAAAATCGTAATTCATTAAGCAAACGTGTTCCTTTACTGTCCATATCGCACAGAACAGCTTCTTGCTCGATCTTTGCTTCCGTCAATCAATGTTTCCAAGCTTGCTAATGTTACTTTGTATCTACCAGCTATGGTGGCAGAATCGTCGGATTTTCTGCATAGGCGCCAAAATGCCTCGTTGATACCAAGCAACAATTTCATGTTCTTCAAGGATATGAAAGATGGAAGATCATCCAAGGATTGAGGAAAACGAAAATGTGCAATTTCAAAAAAAGTGTAAATCCCATTGGCAACCAAGCGAGAGACAAAAAACGTGATGTTAAACCCTACCATGTGAAGAGATAAAAATATATTAATATCCTATGTGGGTGATTTGATTTTTTGACATACCATGAATTTGAAAAGCAAGCGATCCATCCAATTTGTTCACGTCGATTGCATTTTTGTTGAAAATTGCCAATCGAAGGGTGTCCATGCAGAGAAGGTATTTGCTTGTGTTGCCTTAATTCACTTTCACTTCACCGTGCCCAATACTGTGATCATACTCGAGTTGTTGTTTTTTGGCGATGATTGCATCTGGTCGCAATTTTCCACCTTCGATTGGAATGGAATTCGTCCAACGTAAATGTACAAGCCTATCTGGATCATAGATTAAGCATGAACGTAGAGGGTCAAAGTAAGTACCCCATAGTTCGCTTTCACTGATGTCATTGTTGTCTTTCAATGGTGTGTTTGGTAACTTTTGAATTCTGATCATAAAAAAAAGAGATTAATAAAGCATTATGGATAAAAAAAAAACTAAGCACATAAATATTGCTTACAAATTGGAGATTCCACGAACAAGACGTCTAGGACCATAATCCATATCAGCAGACATGACTGTAAGTTCAACAATGGCTTGATCTCTTGTTTTAATTGACATACTGAGATTCGTGATGGTTTTTGTGAGCGTCAGATAATACTGATCATTGAAATCGAGATTGTAGTTCATCGATTCGGAAGACAAAGACGCTGCTAATTCTTCCAATAATTCAATGGAAAATACCTTCGTGGCAATAGAACTGTGCTGATGCTTGTTTAAGATCAAAATATGCGATAAAGCTGCCAATTCATTGATATAGGGTTCAAGCGGAAGCTTTGTGTGTTTGTTGATCAAATCATGGACAACTGACTTGTAATTCTCGAACATGAGAGTAAGGTTTTTCCCGCGGAAGATCCAGGGGTTAACATTGATATTGTCTGAATTAACATTGGTATCATTGTTGCTGGTGATGGACGAGGTCGGGTAAAGCTGACAACTTCTATCATCATTGCTGAAAGAGTCGTCGTCGGTTGTTTCTTGAGCATCATTCGCATTGATATTTTCTTGAGTGTCAATAGTACAGGCTGTTTCTTGGTATTCAGTAGTGTCTTTGGTGCTTTCTTGAATATCAGCAGTGTCGTCGGTAGTTTCTTGATCGTCAACACCATCGAGTGTTTCTCGGACAACAGTATTGGCCTTAGCATTCAGACTTCGCAACCTGTGTTCAGTAACAGAGCCAATAAACTTTATACAAGCTCCATCTGTTCGCAATATGATATCCAATTCCTCTTGCTCGTTCCAAAACCGTTGATAATCAGCAGAACCAGTCCAAGTCTTGTACTCCATTCTAAGGCGTTCGTAATGTTGAGTGTTACTGATATACTTTGAGAGAATATTGAGGTATCGTTGTTGCGAACTACACTTGTCCAAGCATTGGAACTTTTCAATAAACTTTCTAAAAGTAAGATGGCGTAGGTTGTCTAAGCACCATTGTGCATCGTCTGGTACTTGAATCTTTGGCTTCTTTCTGGAGAGTGTAGATGCCAACGACTTTTTTTTGGGTGGCATTTCAAGGAAGAAACATACAGTAATCTACACTGCAAAAGGGGTACTGTAAATTTTTACGTACTTCACCTTCCTTTTTTGGATTTTTACGTACTTAGCCTCCAAGTTTTTATGTACTTAGCCACTCAAGTACGTAAATCGGTTCTGACGCTGTATATTTGTACTATAAAATTTTACGTACTTCCTATTTGGGAATTTTACGTACTTCCGATTTTACGTACCTGCTGTATTTGATTTTTACGTACCTTGAGCGCTAAGAGGACCATACATGTTGTTGTTGTCACTTTTAAAATTTATTTTTTATGCCAACTATTACCACTCTACGCACTATAAGCATACCCTATCCACTTGCATAATAATCACACAAGTACATTTTCTTCTTTTGATTTTAAGAACGTTGTAGCACTCTTTGTATATTATTAAGTTTCAAGGGAGGGTAGGAAGAGCAAACTATATTTTAAGGAAAAAAAAAAAGGTACATGGATTTAGCAGAAAGGGGAAGAAGCAAAAAGGGAGATTTATACTTGGGATATTATTTATATGATAAAGAGAAGTAGAATATTCTTATTTTCCTGTCTTTTGCAATAGGTGTAATACTACTGTAATAGGCTAACAGAAATATAATAGCGGGTTAGCATCAGCTTGACGCTTTATCCCTGTATGGAGATTTATATAGCTCATTACCGCTCAATTTCTTTTTCTTCTTCTTCCGTAATAAACGGTTTGTCAAGATGATTATTGTCCTGTGCGAGTTTACGATATATGACGGAGTGCGTGTATGCTACCTTGCCATGGATTTTCTTGAGTTTTTTAGCGACACGCTTCGTATCATCGAACTCGTAAATGTTGTTGTCAGATGCTCTGCATATTGCTATATAGTGAAAACCAGTAGGTCGTGTACAGTAGATTCTGCCACATAGGTGATACTCTGCTTTCATTATGCTTATATGCTCTGGATTATAGACCATGCTGGATTCGTTGGACGCGTATTTTTCACGCTACTCGTGATCTTTTCCTAGTATTCAATCGTGAACGATGATGAAGCTGGCATAGCTGACAATGTTTTGCATATAAAGATTTCTGCTGCTGGTTTCAACACGAGCTTGTATAATCTTTTGTTGCAGTAACTGGTCAAAGCTGCTTTCGGTGGGATCTTCAAGGTCCTCCTCATCGAAATCCTTATCCGTCAAGTGGAAGATGGATGACCGGTTTCGAATCTTGTCTCCTTGAACATAGGCCTCAGCCATCCATGTTTTGGCGCTATTGTCCTTAGGAGTAGATATTTTGGTGGCCTGTGGTCTTGTCTTGAATTGTAGATAGGCACGTAAAATATCATTATTCTTAAGTATACATTGGAGCACGTCTGCTGGGTCTCCGAATACCCCTTTGCGCTCGATATTTAACTTTGCACCGTGGTCCCAGATATACTGGCGGAAGGACAAGACAGGACCTGTAAAGTCCTGCTGTCTGGACGCACTCCAAAGGTCTGATAGTAAATGTGCTCTTTCATCATTATCGACTTTGGAGGTTCAGGAATGTAAGGCAGAATCACCCTTAACATTATTTGTAAAAAGCAGTCGATGAAGCAAGCATTATCAGCATTGGGAACAATAGCGATTGGATACTTGTTTAGCGAGCTCAAATGCGAAGAACGTTCACTAAAGGTATCAGGTATACATAAGATTTACATTAGGCTTTAAATAATTTCTCTCTCAATTTACGTACGTCATATTTTTCGTTGCATTTTTCTTCGCTCTATATTCTTGCTTCTTTTGCTGTTTGAACAACTCTCGGATATCAGATAGCTTTTTCGCGCGTTCTTCTCGAGCATTGGCCGCTTCTTTTCTTTTTCTGTCACAATCTTCAGTTGCTTCTTTTTGACTACTATAATCTTTTTTTTCGGTATCCTCTCGATATTCAGGTATAGCCAAAGAGTCTATATACATGTTTTAATTAGGTTTCAATTACTGTATTCTCAAACTCTTACAAACAACAAGCTTATTGTTTTACCAAGTGAAGTATCATTAGTTGTTTTTCTTGCTCTTTTGGTTGGCTCATTTTGATCTGAATTATTTTCTGTATAGCGCTTTCTGGTATTGGTGGTAGAACTTCTTGACAATAATTGCTTGAGTTTCTCTGGAGGACGACTGTCGCTTATGTTTTTTCTTTTTAGGCGCTTTGAAAGGACTGCATATATAAAGCGTAGAATAAGCCAGATGCTAACTAGTTTCGATGCAATACACACCCTCACTACGCTAAGAAGAAACTTACGAAGGCGCAGATATCTTATAACGTATATTTTTGCCAGCAAGAACATGTTCCAAGTTACTCTCTTCATTTCGCATGTAGTTGAAAAGTTCAGGTAACTTTGAAAGAATCGGCTTGGATTGCTGAACGAAACGGTAGATATTACGATGGAATGATTCTACGCCGTTCGTTGTTCTTGTGGCATTGAGTAAAAGCTCTTCATGCATCGTCGTTTTCGAGCGAAAGATCATACTAGCAACGCCAGGTCGAAGCCACCAGTTTAGCCATTTTGAAGTATGCGGGAATTCTTTCTCCATTTGAGCGGTTACAACATCAAACATCTGTTCCACCGTCGTCTCATACATGACCCTGGTGTATTCCAAGAATATCCTTCGGCGTTCCACTGGTACAACATCACCTATTTTTTGTATACGTTCAACCGACTGTTTCCAGTGAAAATAGCAACCCTTTAAGTAAGTCTCCCCACTTTTGGCACCGGGAAAAATGTTGCTGAACGCGATAAAAAAGCCGGTTCTTTGCGCTTGGGAAAAGTCCATCATTATCCCACACATAGATGGTTCACCGTCGTCGTTTTTCTTTACATTCAAAACTTTGAACATTGTCGTGAAGAACGAAACGAAGTTTTTAGTGGTTAAACCACCAAGAACCGCTTGGAAAACTGGAACATACTTTTCCAGTTTTTCTTGATATATGACAGAGTTGCAGAGGTAATAGCCGTCGCCAAAGCAGGAGTAAGTGACATCCATTGGAATTGGTTGGCGGCTGTAGTCAACATCGTTCAGAATGTACGGCGAAGCGAAAGGAATGCAAAAACTGTCAGGATGGAGGTCGAGTGGTGAACGAAGATAACCGGGATACTCGACATTGAGCTTCATTACTGAAGTAGTTACTGTTTCGATGCTGGGTATACCTTTAGCGTTGAAGCCATTGGCTGCAAGGATGTTGCGGCGGTGATACGCAACTTTACCAGCATGCTGTAAGTCGCTGTCGATCTCGCGCAGAGGTTGTAGTGGGTTCATTGGTCTTTGAGAGCTGGTGCCTATAACAAGAGCCATGGGTCTTTCCTGCGGGGATCGCAAAACTCTCTCGGCAAGTTTGGCGACGGAGCTCTTGCTGATATGAACGGCTTCATATCGACTGTGCGAATGCACACCACAATGTTCGACACTGCCCACACTGCCAACGAACTTGAAGTGGACACGAACCTTACAGGGAATATGTCGCAACTCCGTATCGCACTTGACACACTTCTGCAGCTTGATAAGTGCTTTGGTGCTGGCTGGCTTGACCGGAAGGTTCTTTCGTACGCAATCGTCTTTTACACATTGCACGGCACCGAGACAAACCTTCGTGATGCTAACACCGCTTTCAGTTTTCTTTTGATTTTGCTGATGTAGCTGCCAGCCGATGTCAGTGGGTCGCGCATAAGTTTGGTCCGTTTTACGAATTAACGTGACCTGCTCAATCTCATCGCCGTCGATCCATTTTGTAAATTCAGATTTCATGTTGTAGGACATGGTACGTAAAGGTTGATGTACGTAAAAATTGGTGTCAGTGATTTGTATGACTAGTGAGTGTAAGTAGTCAAGGAACGCACTCAGAAAAAAGAGACCGGTTTTCCTGCCAGAGCGACTGCTTTTCCTGCAATCACCGAAAATGGAAGTACGTAAAAATTCGCGCACCCCTGCAAAAGAAGAAAACAAGAAGAAAAAAGAGTCACACATGAACTTTGAATCGGCGATTTTTGTGAAAAATTCTCATGATTACTGGGATGTTTTGTTTTTCTTTATTCCTTTGGCTTAAATCTTCCGGTTGAAAGGTAATGATGGTAAGAGACTGATTCGGACTACAATTGTGGAGTTGCAGTGAGGTTAGTAGTCAGTGAAGGTCTTGCTTTTGTAAGACTGGAGATGAACGTCTATGTTACTGGTGTATGCATCGTCGTTGAACGGACTTACATCGGTTTCACTACAAAACTGGGAGCAATAGTTAAGCAGTCTCCTTTTTCGTAATGTTTATGGATACGTCACACTAATAGTGTCTTTTTTTATGGAGAATTGGACAATTAGAACCATTGCAAAGATGGTAGACCCAAGCCTTTCGTCACATTGTACATACTTGCTTTTTGGCCTAGTTTCAAAATCTATTTGGCGCAGATGTATCAATAAAATTAGAACGCAATAGATTTGCACTTTTGTCCTTTATATTTCCAGAACTAATCCCAATAACTTAGCCTGCAACACTTTCTGTCAGCTGTAACGACACAACTTGCCTGGTTTTCATGTTTTTTTTTCGTGTTGCTGGCGTTGTGCAAATCAGTTTGCTTTTTACTTTCATGGTCGCTCATAAAAGGACTGACAGTCGATGTAATACTCTTAAAAGAGTGAAATAAAATTGCTAATTACTTATCTGATTGATACTTACGTGGTTCTTACTTCTGTATTGTTGCCTTTTGATGAAGTCGTTGGTTGCCATTATATGGCACTTTGTTTCGACATTTATCCAAGCAGTTGTAAGAATGCGAAACGAAACCTCGGAAATGACTTTTCTCCACACTATTGCAAGCTTCCGTGATTCTTTTTGATAAAGTGTCTTCTTGCAAAAACCTATGACGCTTAACCTTACTCTTTGCCACTGCCCAGAATTGTTCTATTGGGTTAAGCTCAGGGGAGTAAGTAGGAAGATACACGCATTTGTATCCTCGATACTCAATATACTTCTTTATGTTTTCATGT